AACCTAAAAAAATCCCATCTTTTCTATATAAAAGCCATTCAACTGAATAGAGACAAAATTCTACTAAAATATATTGGTTAAATGTACATAGTTTGATGCGTGTGTGTGTGTGTGTGGGTGTGTGTGTGTGTGTGCATACATGTGTGTTTGTCTGACCAATGATAAACTGGCCTTCTAGCTCCCTTTTCTCCCATGGTTAATACTGTACATCCCCAAAATGTACACTCAATCCGTACCACTGTCTGTATGTATGTATATGTAAGTGTGTGTGTGTGTGTGTGTGTGTGTGTGTGTGTGTTGTCCCTTCCTTGGCAATAAGAACATAATAAACGGAGTGCAAGCAACAGCATCATTTTCTATAACACATTCTGACACAGACAAAAACTAAAACACTTGTTAAGGCCCCCCAATGTAAACGCTGATGTGAAATGCCATCAAACCTAAAACATACAATTCAATATTGAAGTAAAATAAGGTCATGTCATATGTGTGCTGCAGAACCTTTTTTCTTACCAAAATTGCCTGTTTTGACCATAAGTGACAAGTGAAACGCTCTCCCATCGTTCCTGTCAGCATTAACATCTATGTTGTAGATATACAGTATCCTTACATGACTCACGGGAGACGATGTTCAGCTGGCACGTACACAAAAGAAGATATTTGGATAGGAGACGGTTCTGCAGAGCACTTAAAATGTGTAAAGTGTGCGTGAACAAAAGTTTTCACCATCAAGGCTCTGTTCTTTTTTTTTTTTTCTCTCTCTCTCTCTCTCAACTTAGTAGATACACAGAGAGGATTTTCTTCCAAAAGCTTTCAAAACCATTCAAACATTTTGGCAACAGAATTTGTCTCCAGCCCACTGAGAAATCCTTGTGGTTCATCAAAATGAGATGTAACACCAGACACAACACAAAAAGGCAAAAGTAGTTCACCCCCCCCCCCCCCCCCCACACACACACACACATATCGTCCCCCTACTGTTTCTTGGAAATCCAGTGAAAACCTTGAAAACCTTTACCAAAGAACTTCTTTAAAAAGATTGAGAATCAATGTTGAATTCTTAACAAATCTCAGTCCCGTTTGAAAAGGGATGAACCCAAATCAGCGACAGTTTTGCTGCTGGTAACAATTCCTTTCCACAAACCCAAAGCCCATTCAAGTAGGAGAGAAAGTCAACCTAAACCAAGTCAACATAAGCAGATAGGTGCCTGTCAGTTCATAAATCACACGGTATAACCCATTCATCTACCTCTATTCGAATCCCCACTACCGGTCGAGAATACCTTCATGATTACTTCCATCTAAAGAAGGGAGGGAGAAAGGTGGAGGAATACATGAGAGATGAGCAGCAGAGGATAGCAGAACAGGTGGAGAGGGAAAAAGAAAGACAGGGAGGGATGTGTCAAATGATGGACGATAGATGAGAAAGATAAAAGCCATGTTGAAAGGAGGTAAAGAGAAGCAAAACAGAAGAGAGGGGATGAATGGATAATTCAGCTAAACCTCTTTTCATCAGACACTGCAAGTTTAATTTGATCCCACCCTCCCTCTAATTATCCACCTTCACTCCATTCATTCCTCATAGGCACTCATCCACCCATCTCAGCAGGTATCCCTCCATCCTTCCCTTTGTTCTGTCTTTTAGGAAAGCAATGCTTCATTCCTTTTTTTTTTTTGCTACATTTGCAAATGTAAACAGTTTGTATTATGCTAGTAGCCCCTTAAGAGAAGCCCAAAATAAGTACATTTTAAAAACTAGAAACTAGAATAAAAACAATTCAAACCAGCTTTTCATTTTTTGAATAAAAACTGATGACACAGATTTTTTTTTTTTTAACATTTTGTTCTTTGAATCTGCCTCATCAGTCCTCGTATGATAGGACCTTTCACCCACTAAAGGGCAAACTTCAGGATAAAAGCACTTCTAAACCATGTAACTAATGGAGTTGGGACGTCTTCACTTTCAGGTGTGATAATGGAGCTATACATAATAAAGGTGTTAGGTAAACTCTTTTGACACCAGAGTGGGTTGCATGTCAGATACAAGGATGGCAGACTTGCTTAATAGACTGGTTTCTCCTATTGATACAGCAGCAGTGAGATGTCTGAGCCAGACTTCCAACGCCAATGGAAATATGTTGTAACAGTTTGCAGGTTTCTTAGCGTTTTCATGCGACTTTTCTCTGCTTATCTTTTTTTTTTTTTGCTGTTAAGGTATGACACAAATGCAATATACCTTGAGCATATGAACAAAAACTGAGACGCTTTGTTTATATACTGTACATCATATCAATTATTCCAAAGACTGAAAAATCTCTACTGCCTCCAATTACAGAGTATATATATGTAAGACGGATTCAAGGCTTAAGCACCAGAGGTATTAACCTGCAACCAGCACCCCGCAACACACTGACCGCTCCACTGAGTTCTTAGCAGACTAGAGAATTCATCTGATTTTATACTTTGTTACACTGATGTTTTCAAATTTCTGCAAGAAAGAAATCTCATCTCACTGTTGGTTTCAAAAAATAATGATATTTGATCTTTTGTTGACAAAAGTTAAGCGCCTAAAAACTGATGAAATGTGTTAATAATAAACTCCTCCGTAGTAATAAAAACACTATAGAATGATACGGGCACACTGTTGGCATGACTGCATGCCATAATTCATCTTCAATTTCCAAACAAGTGACCAAGGCATAAGTCTCAACATCTCTACAAAGTAGTGTACATACAGTACATGTGAAAATGAAAGATAGGTGACTAGTGACCAAGATTTTTTTAAAGCACACAAGGGTCTTTCTCTCGGGCTGAAAATGCACACATGACCATTTGAACAGGTACCTTAATCGATCGGACAGCTAGGCTGAAATGAAATATAATCGATGACTCTGATAACTTGGTGCGTGGGAACCAGGCTGGCAGCTTGTTTGTCCAGCTTCTGCGTGACATGACTCATAACTCTTTGACAGACAGACAGACAAACCTATTAAGAAAAACTGTACAAGTTACCAGGCACTAGGCGGAATATTTTTCATTCATGTCTTTTGGATAAGCATAGAAAAATATTTTTCTCACTCTTTAGCTTGTTACTTCTTGTCTTTCATTTTCATTCAGCCTTTTATTATTTCTTTCAAAGGAGTCTCTTGGTGATTTTTTTTTTGTTTGTTTTGTAGCAACTAAGGCAGCAAGGCTGGAGAAGTCATTCTTTCTTTATAAAAATAAACAAGATGGCCACCGTGTTACTTCATTTTAAAGAACAGGGGGACTTTCAAGGACCTGATGGTCACAACTCTCTCAATCACAAAAGTAAACTATGAGAATGCAAAATTTAATTTAAAGCGAAGCTCAGTTGTGGAAACCTTGTTTAGAAGATGGATTTTAAGTGGGTCATAAATAGCAAATCAGTGTGATGGGTTGGTTGGAGTTGAATACAAACATGATCATTTTACTTCAATGAATTATAAAATGTAACTTTACAATCTTGTGTTTTCTTCAGTATAATTTAGGTCTAACAAGTAACAGTTCCCATCCCTAGAAAAGGCAACTTATTTTGCAGATTTTTATAAGACGCTAACATGCTACATAGAGGTAACCTACCAAACTCTCAGCAATATGATATCAGCTGAATAAAACACTGTAGGCAGGAGGCTCTGTACACACAATACAGAGCAGGAGTTTATACAGTTAACCCAAATAATTGATCATTTTGATAAAATTTAGGGTTTTTTTTCCCTAAGTTCCAAAGTCTCTCTATAAAACCATGTAACCTAACAACATGTAAAAGACATACAGAAAAAAAAAATGTTACATACTAAGATCATGTTGATCTAATAACACATAAAGAACATGATAAGAACATATATAAGAGAACATGCTAAAACCATTTAAACATGTAAAAATGATGTGTCACATGCTATGAAACAGGTGGGTTGGTGTGCAACATGTGTGACCCCTGAGGACTGAAAAACCAAGCGCAAGCCTTCATTATGTTTACATCATCGTTTGGGGACGGACACATCCTTTGATCCTCACACACAGAAACGCAATTACACAAATGCACACATACACACAACCCCCTCTTTTCCTGTACCATTTCTGTTAGACGGCTGTTATCAATGTAACAAGTCTCCTTAAGAAACCAAACAACAAATAGCTCAAAAACAAGGGAGAAAAAAAAAAAAATCGCAAATAGACTAATTTTTAATAGTACCATATCCTGCAAAAAAGCATTATTTGCCTTTACAAAATAAGATATTATATAGGAAAGTGTAGCAAATTGCATGTTTTGAACTATAACATCATCATTATTATTATTACCATTATTATTATTAATATAAATGTTAAGCAGGTTAATAGATGGTTGTTCTATTAGGCAGGCAGCCAGGCACGTAGCTAGTATCATGGCACGGAGGAAGGTAGAAAATAATGTCACTTGGTTCGATCCAAATGGATGAAGAGAACACTTCGGTCCGGTATGACACCGGTTTTACCAGTTGAAACTGGCTTTAAGCAGTCTTAAAAAGTCACGGTCAAATCAGACACATTCAGTCTCCCATTTTGCACCACTTTGCAGCTGTGGTGATTTTGCATCGATCCAAGAACACAGTCAGTTTCAGTAACAACAGGGCACGAGTGAAAGAAACCAACTGATCCTTTTGTACCAATGTAACACCAGCTGAACTGCAGCACAGAACAAACTGGTTTAACTCTGGACTCCCCCTTCTTCAAAATAACTTTTGGTTTTGGGTCCATTTGCACAGCGGGAAAACAGTTAAAAACTCTCAGAACAAAGTCATTCTTACCAGATCAGATCTGGTTGTACCAAGATAAAACAGTCTGAATGATGCTTCAGACTAGTTTGGGTCAGCTCGGGGTTCAGTTTAGCATGGTGCATAACAGATCAGCTTAGTTCAGTTCAAATTAAGTGTTTTGCTTCTAGCATGTTTTTTTTTTTTTTTTTTTTTTTTTTTTTAATTTTTTGCTCTGCTGTACGGTGGCTGTGCAAGTGCTGAGCTCCTCAAACTCATCCTAAATGAGACCAGTCCAACTCTCAGTCGAGCTTCCAATCCTCTTATATGGAAAGCACATAAGTGGCTGTTTGTTAAAGGTGATTTCAGCTGCATGCCCGGACTCCGTTGTTGAATACTTGCCACAGAGCTGTCAAGTGGCCGTCACTCAACAGAGGATTCAGGCTATTTCTCCAAACTGTCCCTGCAGCAGTTCAGCGGGATCCTACAATGATTTTTGACCATTTGACAGCCGAGTGCTTCCAGCATAAGGATGTGTTCCATTTAGTGCCCAGGATAGGCCCATTTTGACATGAGCTAGCCTCCAGGAACATGAAGGCATACAGCTTATTCATCCAATGAAAGGCGTTCTTAAAGGTTTGTGTCAGTCAAAGGCATCAGATTAATTACTCTCTGCGTTCTCATCTACATGTTTAGTCTCAGCAACAGTTGTGACCTCCATGGTTTCTGACATGTCAGCACTACTGTCTGACACCGTTTCGCCTCCTAATTCCTGGTTTGTTTTGTCATGACTCTCTACTCTTACCTCCTTTTCAGCTCCCGTTTCATCATCGTTGGCTTCATTGCCTGTAATTTCTTCTGCTTGATCATCATGACACACTCCTACGACATCATCACTTCCATGTGTGATCTCAATATGATCACCTCCATCTTTGTTTTCCTCTGGAGTCGCGCTTCGAGAGTCGCGCTCCGACATCACGGTGGCGCTCTGAATTTTGCCGTCTTGCGTGTGACCCTTCTGTTGTGACGTCTTGTCTGTGTACCTGTGTAAGCCCCTCTGTATGTGTGTGGTGAAATCATAGCGATCCACACACACATGCAGGCAAAAACTGCATTGGTATGGTCCCTGGTCGCCGTGGCAACTCATGTGCAGGGCATACATGACCTCGTCTAGGAAGTAGATCCCACAGTGGATGCATCGATTGGTCAGGTCATCCTGTGTGGCCACTTCCACCATTGTGCGATTCGATGAAACACTCGACCGACTTTTCGTCAAATGATCCTTCTCTTCCTTTCCTATCTCCTCTTTCTGGTTCCCTCCTTCATCAGTCCTCTCCTCCTCATCTTTCTCTCCTTTCCAGTTCTCTCTCAACCTCTCAGCTAGTGGCGACTCCTGCCTTCTCCTCTCAGCACCATTTGTTGAAATGTGTGCATTTGCAGCACTTGTATCTCGTTGTCTTATTGCAAGATCCAAAGGAGCCTCATTTTCTAACGATGATGATGAGGAGGAGGTTTGTGGATGAAGAGGAGGAGGAGGATAGTGAGGAGGAGCTGGAGGCGGCGGAAGAGGAGAATAGGGGGAGGCGCAGTAAGGCACCGTGTAGCTTTGCTGATGATGCTGTACCGGGGTCACCATTGCACCGAGATAATGAGTGTTATTTCCAAGGCTACCGGGGCTGCTTAGATTACTGATGCTACCAGGAACCCCAGAGGTGGCTGCCATCTTGTACTTGGTCCAGAATCTGAGCCAATCCGACTCAGGGGTCAAATCAGGCGAGAGGGTTAATGGTAAGGGTAAGGAGAAAAGAGGATACTGATATTTTTCAATGGGAGAACCAGGAGGCGAATAACTAGACGGTTTGGATGGACGCATGTATTTTTCAATCGGACTGCCTCTCTCTGATCCCCCTCCTCCTTTACCCCCCTCCACCTTTGATGTTATCCCTCCCTCTGCGATGCCCCCGTTGCCCTCAGCTACCAGCGAGGAGGGGGGATGTGAGGGGAGGAGAAGAGGAGGCATGCGTCTGTGGATCTCCAATGTTTGATTGGCTAAAAAGGCTTGAGTGGATCGGGGCGAACGTGAGCGAGGGGACGGCTGCTGGTTTTTGATTGATGCACAACTTCGGTCTGACTCCTCCCCATTCATGCGCTCCTCACTGGTGATTCGTTGCTGCTTGGGGGCAGGGTTTTCGGACGTCAGGGAATCGGGGTTGAGGCGTTTTCGGGTTCGGCGCCGGATAATTTGCTCACCGTTGTTCTGCTTTATGATGTTTAGAGGTCTCGGTGTCTAGAAGACGAAGACAACACAGAAGAAAATGGAAAAACAAAAAGATTAGTAAACATTTAATATGAAATGTGGTGATCAATTTTCTTTTTGATAGAGATTGCCATATAAATTATTTAAGGTCGATTGTGTGACCTGACTAATAATGTCAAGCATACAGAGATCAGCGTTATCGGACTCTGGTGAAATTAAATTAACTGCATCATAAAACAGAAGCTGTAACAATTGAGTAAATACAAAGTATTGATCTGACCTCACTGTCAGGCCAACAAACTGCCTGTTTGGACTGAATCAGTGATAGAAGAGTTGCACTAAAACTGACTGAAGATTGACAACTGTAGCTACTGTTTCTAACAATTATTACAAAGTAAGACTGCTAAAAAAAGCAAATCAGTGTCTCATTTCATATAGATTTGACCTAAGCTTAACTAAGTGTGACATGTTAAAAAAAAAAAAAAAAGACATATCCAGCACTCCCAAGGACTGTGGTTTCTGCCCTCACCACAAGGGGGAGCGCTCACATCTGATGTCAATTGAGTTTGCCCTGAAGGCTCAACTTTGGCTCCAACTTTTCAACAGATCCTTTCACAAACATGTACATATGCTTTCATTCATGCCTTAACTATCATCACATAATCTCTTTCACTCAAGTTATGTGGTAGCTTCTTATAATTTAGTTATAAAAAGTGCAAACTAGACAAAAAACAAAAAAAAACAAGACAAAACAAAAACTAAACAAAAAAAAAAAAGTGAAAGTAAGCACTGTGTAAGAGCCTTACACAGTGCTTTCATTAATCAGGTAGAAGTCAAGCAGAATTCCAAATAATAAAAACTGTTCAGTAACATCCGCAACACACAATTTCTGAAGCACTTCTCACTTATTCAATTTCCGACTGGGATTAATAAAGAACTTATAAAGATTTATGAAAGATGATGAAACCTTTTTGATGTTTTATTCCTAAATATGTGCCAAAAAAAAATCATCACAGTCAAAAACATTTCCAGACAAATTATTTTTCTTTCCTGGAAGTAAAATAAACAGAGCAGTTTAAAGAGAGTAAAGAGTCCACATTTCATCCCCAAAGTAATGACTTGCTATCCTTTCATTACTGAAGAACCAACTTCACTCAGTCCTCCTCTCTACACATCATATACTGACCTCCGCACGGCATTAACTGGAAACAATATCAAATTCAACATAAAGAGAACTGCTTTTCAAAGCTTGAAAAATACTTCCAGTTTATTGAAAGTTACACTGCCATGGAGGTTGAAGTGATTAGTAGTTCTCTGCTGTATGTGTGTGTAAGCACCGCAGCAGATGAAAACCAATCACACAAAGATGCACAGAGAAGGACCAAGCAATATGGAGGAATTAAAGAGGTGTTTAATTAGATGAAAAGCAAAAAGACGGGGATTCTATTTAAAGAAAAGAAAAAAGCAACAAAACTCTTATGACTAGAATGATTTATTCCTCTGTATATCTTTATGGTTATGAGTGACTGAGAATGTGTTTCTCTCACTTTATGTGTAAGGTAAAGACAAAGTGTGTGGGGTGTATCAAAGAAACTATTACTACATTCATTTTGACCACGAATCAACAATCTTAACTCCAACTTCTGTGTCCAAACTAGTCGTATAAAAATCCTTTATGAGGCTCAACCCTGTGGTTTAACGATAATGCACATAAATTTCAGACCAGCGTCACTGCTCCTTGTGCAGCCTGGATCATTATCATAAAACAAGTCGATCACTGAGAAGACTGACAGCCTCTACATTGACAAAATGATGTCAGTCAAATCACAGAATTTTTTCTTGTTATTTTTTTAGTCCTAGGGTGGTTGTGTTTCTACCTAAAGAGGGGTGAGGAGAATAAGAGAAGAAAATGGAAAGACAAGAGTAAGAAAAGGAGGTGAGATAAATGAGGGAAGGGGGAGAGTAATATATGGTTAACACAGGAGGAAGAGGCAGAGAGAGAGGGGACATTAAATACAGAGGAAAAACAACAGGAAGGAGGGAGGGGTGGAGGGACAGAGGATGATGGAGGATGACTAATTCTAAGCAGGATTTGATCTGTTCACACCGCTCAGGTGATAAAAGAAAGCCCACTCAGAAGTCAGTATACATGCTAGCAAACCCTTGCTCTTAAGTGTGCTATTGATGGCCACTATTGTCCCACAATGCAACGCACAGAAAAGACAAAAGGGAAATTGCGGATGATGGTGAAACAACTCGAAAAATAAATAAAACTACTACATTCAGAAAAACATTTTGCTGTGTTATTTGATAAGAGGGACTGGCAGTGGCATCTTACACACCCACTGGCGAAAACAATGTATCACTCCCCGGTGTTACACAACAATACAGAATGATGATTTATTGTATACCAACTGCAAAAACAGTGTACTATGAAGATTAGTTGTTATTCTCTACAGTTAGTGTGTTGTAGTAGTTGCTGCTCCTGTGAGGGCTCGCCACAGTGGATCACCATGCGCATATTTGATTTGGCATGACACGAACCGGTTTCCGGGGGAGCTGGGGATCAAACCATCAACCCAGGGATCGGTGGCAAAGCTGCTCTACCACCTGAGCCGTTCTCTACAGTTAGTATTTTGTATAGAATTGGGAAACTGCACAAGTCTCTCTACTTCTCCTGCTCCCCTTCTCCTCTTCTTGTCTCTTTCCGCCTGCTACACGTCCTGTCTTTTATAGTTGCTCTCTCTGCTTTGGTAAGACGTTTAACACATCCTGTTCAAGCCTGTCGTTTGTTGTCGTTCCTCCTTGTCCGCCTCTAAATGCCCTCCTCTTCTTTACCTTGCTGGTCATTGTGGTTCTTAAGTCACAGGGGGGGATGAGACTACGTGATGTTTGATATGTTTCGGTATGGGGAATGGATCATTGGTCTCTGGAGATAAGTCAGTGATTTATTTGTTCATTTAATTCATACAAGATATTTCATAATGGCAGCAGTCTAATTAACAGGATATGTGCATGAATGGCAAGATGCTCATCATTTAAAGGATTTTTGTGAGTACAATCCTGAGTATGTAAGACACCCAAATCACCAACCACACACACACACACACACACACATACACGGTAGCTGTACTGTTGTACACTTTTATGGTTGTAGGCTGGGTTTGATATAATACCTGGGCTGCGTTACTGGCGGTGCACATAACTCTCCCTCTATCTGTCCATCTTTCCCTCTCTCCTTCTCTTCTCAGATGTCCCCTCTCCTAATCTCTGTCTCCCTCCATCTCTCACTCTTTACACACACCCTCCACCTTCATTATCTCTCTCCTCACTCTTTACAGTCATCTGTTCCTCTTTCTTTGTTCCCCCATCTCTCTGTTTGTCTTTCTGTCTTTCTCTCCCTCCCTCCCTCCCTCCCTCCCTCCCTCGACGTCTACCTTTTTCTCCCTCGTTATTCATAACTCTCCCTGCCCCTCTCTCACTCTCAAGTGTTTTACTAGCTGCTATCCTCTCTAATAATGTGTGTAGAGCGTATAAAACTTTTATTATGGGATATAAAATATGGTTGTCGTGAAGATTGCCAAGAGTGGAGGGAGCTGGAACGTGATTGGAGCAGCAGATGAGATGAACGGGTTGGACCAAGGACGTCTGCAGGGGCAGGAAGGAGTAAAATGCGATAGCTTGTCATCCTCTAAAAGGTCTTTAAAGCTCCATTCGATAATTGCAGCACAGTGGCCTGGGCTGTAACCCAGTCACCCCACTGATGCATTTACTAACACTGTGATTTATTAGACTGAAACACTTTTGTTCATTTTGAAATTTTACAAGCTCATTTTTCAAAAGCCAATATGTGAACATGAATCTAAATATATATACATTAAGGCTCTGAAGGCTCATTTTGCACTTGTAATATTTGTAAACCCTTCAGCTAAAAAGGTATATCGAAGTGTTAAGTTAGCTTAAACCCCTTAAAACACATCTGAGGTAAGGAAGCTCAGTATTCTGAAGTCTGCTAAATTCCAGGCTGGGTCTTTATCTCATCTGTAATTCATGCAGTCTAATTAAATTTGGGATTTCCATAGACTTTCCCCAGGCTTAGATGGTAAAGTTGATTCATTCCATCATATTTCTCACTCCATGGAACTGGCTCACTGTGACTGCTGAAATGGTCTGTAACTCCCAGCACCCACCAAATCAAATATACTTTTTCCACAATATTACTTTTTCACAGCGGGATTCACAGAATATATACAAGAATTTTTCTGCAGTATGCACCATTTAATTTGCATAGTATGCAAATTGACCAGACAGGAGGAATGGTAATTAGTGGTCGAACCCACCCTGTAGATGTACTAGAACATAGCATGGAGTCTATAAAATAAGAGCTGGGTTTCCTGATCCAATACAACCACTATGACTATGAGAATACGTAGCTCTTCTATGAGTGGAGAGGAGGAGGGTTTCAGGACTGTGAATTTAATTTGTACGATGATACACCTATGAGTTTCAGCTCACTTGTAGGTATCACATTAACTTTCCTGTCTGTCTTGCTACATTCAAAGCGCTTTAGAAGTGTGAAGCTGTTCTCTCGTCGCTCCTCTAATTTGTTTGAAAGAAAACTGGAATAACCTCTGTACAACTACTGTACAGGTTTGTCTATTCATCTCACAGGTCTCCCACTCTGTTTAGAGTAATCAGCGGTGTAATGTACAGCTGGTGCAGACACAGCATCTGTTCACACGCCTGTTCATGACTTACCGAATGTAGTTTTTGGTATAAACCACATGCGTTGCAGACGTAGCCTCCGTTAGCATTCTTCCTCCACAGTGATGTCTTGGTGGTCAGACAGTTTGCACAGAAGACCCCGCTACCTCTGCGCCGCTGTGGACGGAGAAAAAGAGACAACATTAGAGAGTGAAAGTAAAAATATAGATGGATTAAGAAACTTGGGGAGGAGGAGAAAGGTGCCAAGTCATAGAGAGAAAAGAAATGGGAAAAAAAAAAAAGGAAAAAAGAAAATGTGGAAATAAATTTTGATACCTTTTTAATTTTCATGTCATTCAAGAACAATGGATTGGTAGTGAGGTTAGGAGACAGAGAGAGAGAGAGGAAACAGATTGGCTTGGTGGCAGAGAGATGATGTGCTCTCATTTATCACACCTAATGGGGAAATCCTATTGAGAACCCTGTTCTCCTCTCCACTGATTTTCTCTGTATAGACCAAGGTTAATAAAAACACCAAAACATACTTTACTGAAATAAAAATGATCTAGGTGAGCTAAATAACTGGTGTGTTTTATATGCGTGACGATGTTTCGGAGAGAACCTGGGCTCTTCCAAGACAGATGTGAGATACTGCAGTAATTTTGTCAAGTACTACTCGACGGATGTGCAAAGAGATGAGTTACGCTTTCACCTTGTAGCATAAAGTGCTTTAATGTTTACCTGAACTGCAGCAGGTACTTTACGGCAAGTATTTGACTTTTACTGTA